TTCATCAAGACACTGAAGTTCTGTATAATTTTAAGGACATGGATTTCCCACAGCTTTCTGTAAACCACTTTTTTTACATCTTGAGGTAGAAACAGATACTTTCTTCTCTTGTGGTTTATATGGTGAACTTTAATTTTCTCTTCCCCTTTTCTCCGTGTTCCTGAAATGCTGAAATCATGTGGCCACAACAAATACAGACCATACAATATAAACTAAACTGCATTATATTATCACATAATTGATAATATATTGGCTTATTTATAGCTAAGCATCCCAAGACTGCCTCATAGGGCAGCAAAACTATCTCTGAAAGATCTTACACGAATTGTTCTCCTTCTGAGCCACACACACCACAAAACCCACAGGAAGTTGTCTCTGTAGTGGCTGCGGTTCTGCAGTTTCCTTCTTCCCCATCTTTAAGTGGTCAAAACATTTCTTAAAAAGTTAAGTCAACACAAAGTAGAGAATAGACTTCCTGTTCTTGTGGTGTAACAGATACCCATGCCCTCAGAAATAAGAATTCACACATCTGACTGTCCTTCTGTGTCCTTTGAATCAATGTAAGGTTATGGTTTGAACTTATTAAATAATAGTTTTATTTTTAGGTTTCCTACCAGAAAAATATAATAGTACTTTTTTTAGACATCTCTTGGCAGCACTTATTTAAAGGATGAGTAAAGCACTTGCTTTTCTTCAGCCCTTGACTTGTAAGACTATTTTCTATCTAAAGATAGGGGTTAAAGATGATACTGTTCTTAGTACCTGTAAGGGTAGAATCAGGAATATGCTCTAAAATTCTGATCCCTTAGGTAACAGATGGGACTTGCTATATAACTGTATCTGACTGAATGTACTATGTATTTAAGGCATATATATATACCTAAACACTAACACATACATCTCTCTTGCTATATATCAATATATGTATATAAATATATAGACATCTGCTGTTTCCTTAAAGATTTTTAAAGGGAACACGTGAATGCACTGGAATCCTATCAGTCTTAAGAATATATAACTTGCACTTTCAGACGTTAATTTTGTCATATTTATTTAAAAATTTAAAAACCCACCCAAGGTTAAATAGGACTATAAAATTCAAAGTTACTTGCACTTAAGATAATAATTCTATGTTGACTTGACCAACATTTGATTTGGCATTTTCCATACTGTTGATGGTAGATTTGCTTGTGAGCAATTTTCTCCTGAAGGAAGAATTTCAAAGGACAGCAACATGATTCTGCTGTTGCTTTGTATAAAAACAAGCAAAACCATTCATTAAAAATAATTTGTATCTACCGAAAAATAGATGCATTTTACCATTGCTAATAGAATAAGATGGCGTTTCTGGCTCCTCTAATTTGTATCAAGAGTAGAGATGAAGATTTAAATAACTGTCAGATGGAAAGAGAAGGAAGGAAGGAAGGAAGGAAGGAAGGAAGGAAGGAAGGAAGGAAGGAAGGAAGG